CAATATCTAAAATCTTAATTTACATACTCGTGCCTTCACATTCCTCCTAGAATCCATCACTCAGACCTCAGCTATTTAGCCTCATTTTAATCTTCCCCATAACTTTATTCACATTTTCTTTCACTTCCCCTTTGCCTTGCAGTCTTTTTCTCACCCAATCCTCTGTACACTTTACGAAGACTTCGTGGTGCAAAGCTCTTTTTCTTCTTCAACATGGGATTAACCTTTACTTATTCCTCTGCAGCTTGCATGCTGACACAGCTCCTGACTATAATACAGTCAATTAAATTAATATATCTGAAAATGTTCCCATTTTTCTGGTATATTAAAGAGTGACAGAAGTTAAACTAGCTACAGTACATAACTATAGTACTGGCAATGTAAAATGAACAGCCCAGCAAACCATTACAAAATGTAGGTGTGTAATTATCACAGTGAGAAACCAAGTGTGTTCTACAGAGTTTATTCTAAATGTCACAGAGTGCTCAAAGGAGAAAGCTTTTTCTTCTAGTTCAAAATATCTTGAGACATGCAGAAGAAAAAAAAAGTTCCTAGAAATCTATGGCCAATATCATTAATCGGTCATTATTATACTGTTTCTTCTGCTTTTCATTTTTTCATATTCTGACCATTTTCAAATAACGAAAATTTGGTTTCTTTAAAAAAATGATTTAGCAATATTCTATAATGTCTATTTTTATTTTTATAATGATTCCAGGGACTCTCTGTGAAACTGTATCAGTTAATAAAGGATTAAAGGTTCACAAATCCTATTTTGGTCTTTTGAGACAGCCATAATGTTTAATTCTATGAGTGTATTCATAAGACACCATGTTTCTAACAGATTCACTGAGCATTCATCAAGGGATCTCTTGACACAATAATTCTAGCTGGATGTGGCCCTGCAGGTTAGTTTGTAGATAAATGCCAAAATAGTTGCCATAGTGAGAAATGACACTGAAATGCTGTGGTGCCCAAGGCTAATACACAGAAATATTTAAATCTATGAATTAAACAAAAACTGCCAGGAATTCAAGGTTGTTTCATGAGACCTCAGGAGGAATTAATTCATTACATTTCTGACACTGAGCAAGAAAACAGCATTATAAAGACACTATTTGTATTTGGTCTTTGGTAATCAAACTTCTGTATTGTTTGTAGTGCATGATTGATCTTTTAGCTAGAGTGTTTATACACTGCTACAGGCCAAGTTTGCCTCCAGAACATTTAGTCCTAATGCAAATTATCACTCAGATACCTCAATGGACCACACAGAGCACAGAAACCAGAAAATCTGTATTTGAATAGAAACATAAGATCAAGGCTGAATTGGCTGGTATTTGAGTTATTTGCCATTATTTGTAGATTTAAATTCCAAAAGAATGAATATTTTGAAGATACAACATAGGAAATCAAAGCAATTTAATTAATGTATACAGTACTTATGTGCAGTGTACACAAGTGCAGATATAGCTTTGCTTTGAACCAAAATTGCTTTGTTAAAAAAAAACAGTGCTTTCCATCTTGAGCGATCAAAAGCGGTGCTGAAAAATCCATGGAAAATTAGCGGAACAAATTTGATGGAAAGCTTTTTATTTGCAAGACCTTGGGAGTGACAAGTGGGTGTGGAAAAATAATACTCACCCAGCATGCTTGCAAACAGGAAACCACACAAAGTAACCCCTCTGACACAGCAACAGGAGCCCACTCAAAGGGCTACAAGCTGATGGAAGCTGAAAAAACAATTAGTACAAAATATTAACTGGAACATCATTCTTTGCACTTATAAGATATGTACTTTCAAATTAGTTACAAACAAATGTACACAAATAACAGCAAACATTGATAGCTTCACTTCCCCCCCAGTAATTTTTTCCTGATATACTGTATAACAAAGTGTTTAAACAAAATTCCCGACACATAAAAATAGGAATTGGGGATTTGTATAATGTGCTGTAGACGTGCAAATGGACTTATGAACACTTTAAACTAATGTGTAATATTAACTTCTCCCCCTAAAGTCTGAGATTAATTATTCATGTTCATTTATAAATATTTATAACCCACCCTAATATAAATTATAAGACAACTTTTTTTTCAAATCTTTACTCCCTCTGTAAGATACAACCTTGCATACAAAAAGTTGCAAACATTTTTGGTCGCAAGATACAATTCAGCCACGATACTTGATACAGTTTCTGCACTATATCATTCCATGGCTTTGGCAGATCATGGATTCGGATCTACGACGCATACATCTAATTTTATCCAAATTTATTTGACTTTTTTAAAAAAAAGATTCAAATGTACATTTGCAATTGTTAACATTGACTTTCAGAAATCCGTTTACAAAATTATCACTGCTGAATGACGTATGTAAAGTATGTGCCTCTATAATTTGAGTATTAACCAATTGTTGCAAAGCCATTTTCACTCACTAGCACCTGTAACTACAAACAAATTTGAGAAAACACAGAACATCAATAAAAGCTAAAGCCACTGAACCACTGATCCTATTTTTTAAATTCATATATAGAACTTTTGCCTGAAGTTCTCCAATATCACAAGGCTTCACTGCTGTGTGCAACGTAAATTCGAGGAGTACTTTAATCAAAATGACCTTCCTTGCACCAGGACCTAAAACACTGCTGACCTAGTTGATGAACACATATTCCAACAACATATTCTACTGTAGGGCTTTAAAATCTGTGATTATTTTAACATTAGCCTCATAAAATAACTCCAATTTTAAGTCAGATTAGGAATAACACTTGAGACCAATATAGAGCAGTGCTGTTAAACAGGATATGGATGTCTTTCATCATTGTTCCCCCAGGCATAATCTGTTCGCCAAGAGATCACTGTGCTTTAACCACTGGATATAACAGGTCATTTTGTACAAATCTAATTGAATACCACAGAATACCTTCTACTCATTTATGTTTGAGTCCTGTGAGACGGTTTCTCTGGAGATAAAATCCTCACTGGCTTTCTCATTGCAGCATCTCTGTCTGGCATATTTTTTATCCTTTTTCTTTTGTTTCTCTATATGAATAGCTTTTCCAACAAGTACAAATTCCGCTTAGCTCAGTAGAAATCATAATGATTTTAGATCAGTTAGATTTATTTAAATTTACTAACGAGAATAAACATTCCCCTTTGGTCTAAAGATTGCACATTAAATGTCCCTGTGACAGAACTAGGATCAATAACCCAGATCGTGTTCACACCAAGTCCTCAGGACAATGGAAAGCATAACTTAGGGTTGTTCCTTAGCAACGACAGAAATCACCTCGGAGAAAGAAAGTGGAGCAGTTTGAAAACCCCAGTGGAGTGGTATTTCAGAATGAATTAGCAATCTCTGGATGCACATTGTTTTCCAAATGATAATTAGGATTCACCACAGGATAACTGCTCCTGTTCCGATTCATCACAGGAGCCTCAAACAAGGCTAGTTTGTGTCGATGAAAATAAAACTGCACTCACTTGTTCTCTTCTGTCCCTAGACACATATAACGCCTGCAGCAATACAGCTCTCCAGGAATCTAAGAGTAATTCCACTTTAATCTAGTTACTGGTGTCCCATCCAATGTTAGAGACGTTCTTACCCAATCTGTAACAGTCATAGTCTGCTGCTTCATAAAAGATGTTTATTCTGTATTTGGGACCAAGCCAAATTTACCTGATGTCAATGGACAGGTTTGCACAGAAAGGAGAATTCAAAACCTTGTTTTGTTTCCAAGGAAAATTCAATCATTCACAACATCATAACTCTACATTTGTAGATCTCAAGGGCTGAAGTCCGTGAACTATAAAAACTATACAACAATATACCAGTTATAAAACCATGTAGACTAAAGGTGGGATTATATAAAATAAATCAAAATATCTGGTAGCACTCAAGGACAAGAAACGGTAAGTGAATGGTAGAGAATTGTATCTATAAATTAAAATAGTGAAATGAAATACTGCTATTTAATTATGCAATACTCACTATTTATTAAATCATGTTGGGGAAAAAAATAATCTCTATCTCTGTGTGAAAATAACATTTGAGTTTTATGACTTCACTCTAATCTTTGGCGTTTAATACTGTGTGGTTAGGACCCTAGATACTGATAGGGCTACAACAGAAGTGGTCCTGTCTTCCACAAATCGCAATAGCGAGACTCTTTACTCAATGAGTTTATATCAACCCAATGAGCAAGATGGACAAAGGCCTTCCTTTAGGCCAGAGATATAAACATTGTGACGAAGTCTGAAATTTATGTATGACAGGACCACATCTATAAATCAATAGCACCCTTTCATTCCTAAATGTGTTTTAAGGAACAAAGACGTCCACCTTTGGGGAAGCATCCTGTAGGGAAAACTCTTTTTGTAGGCATCTTGACAGATTAATTCTCACAGCAGGCAGAAATCGAAGGATAACATCTGATCAAAGGCGCACTGCTTGAACACTTCAAGCCCCTCAGTACAAATCCAATCATTTGCATTAAGAGGTATACTGTACAAATGATGAGCATCTTTACTAAAATGATTCACAAGTGCTGTACTGAAGCACTATCTAATCTGATTTCTAAATGTTTCTAAGATCTGGGTCATGCACCATATTGCACATCACGCAATACTAAGTGGTATTAATGGATTTATACCACGTAACGTTCAGTCAGAACATCTTTACAACAGAAGTGCCATGTTTAATCTAAAACTGAAGATGTCAAAATTAAAAATTCATCCAACCTTAGAGTCATGCCTTTTTTCCTCTAATATTCTATTGGTTTAATATCTGAGTAAGTTCCCCCTATAAGGAACTGGGGTCACAAGGGAAAGATAAAAGACAAATGGATAATAAAGTAATGAACAATGTTCATTAACTGAGAGTGCAATCAAAATGTAAATTTCTGCCATGAAATAAATTGTGATGTCATTTCAACTTGAAATAACAGAAGTTACTATTAGGTGGTGAAGTATAATGTCCATTAAACACTAAATTCATTTCAATACATTGTCACTTTTCATTCATTGTGCAAAATTACAAGGGAATAGCAGTAGCTATTCCTTTTAAATTGACTTTTCACGTAATTAGGTTTGGTTTCACGCTGTGTTAATATTAAAAATGCAATACATTGTGTGTTCTGGTTTTGACACTTGCAATGCAAGGACAGCTATCAACTACTCATTTTCTTAATATTTGTTACTGAAGAATATACAATAGGTGTTCATCCTGACACATGGTTTGTCTTCAATGACCATGGAGAAAGCAATGAAAATGACATGTAGAAAGTAAAGAAATTTTAAATCAAGGAATGTTATGTTAAAATGGCAAATGTACTGGTTAGACCTAATTTTGGAATAGTGTAAGAAAAATTTGGTGTTGTTCTGGAATAATCGATTCACCTAGTTAATGCCTGTGCCAATAGGAATATCCTACTCTAGCAGGTTTAACAAATTGAGTCTTTTTATTCTTGAATTCACAAAACTTTGAATGAACCTTAGGAAGAGCTCATTGGTAAGAACTGGATGCATGTAAAAATATATTGTCATCTACTTCTATTATATGGAAGTGTTTTCTCATCCACTGTAAACACTGTTTTTGTTCATCAACACAGGGTATTTGAGGTAGAGCCTTTATTACATTTTACCAACTGTATCCTTGTAGTAAACAGACAATAAGTCTGGCAGCAGTTTTGTCATTTTCACTTTCTAGGTATTTGTCATTTTTAAACTACATTAGATGACAGGTTTAGATCAAACAGGAATTGAAGACACTTCTGTACTTGTTTATAACTCATGTACAGTAAGTACATCACATTGATACTGTATACTATCATTCATAAAAAGAAGTGTCTAATTAACATTTAATCCTTCCAAAGTCATGGCAGACACTTTGTCCTGAATGTGCTGAATGCCGTTGTGTTGTGAGGTAAGTCACAGACACATTATTAAACAAAAACAATCAAATGGCTCTCTTCCCATTGACAGAGAAAGAAGACCCTATGGATTGTACCTTGATTTTTTGCAGGTAGTTTCATTTGCCAAAGGATCACATGCATTATTTATTGTTTGTTCAGTTTGTTACACTGGGGACTGAAGAAAAAAAAAGGAAGTCAGAGGTTGGAAAGGCTCCTTTGGGCAACACAAACTTCCCTCCTGAGCTCCTCGCTTATATGAAAAGATTTCATTTCACAGCCTAAGGTTGCTAAGATACATGCTGTGAGTATATAAAGTACCATGTCAGGCCGCCTAAAGAATAAAAGGAAAAAGAAAGAGAAAGGTAGGTGGTTTGAGTGGATTTCCAGTTTTCACATTGATCCTGCACACTCTCAATCCAGCTCAACAGTTATGGTGCACAAATACTAGATTATTTTGAATTTTATAAGTGTATAAATGCAGCCATGCAGAATATTTTACCAATTTCCAGAGAAATATACAGTGCATCTACAAACAGTCTACAGTTTCATGTGTTGGCAAAGGATATATTTACAGGTGGCGTGTTTGTGTTTACTGTACACACAGGGAAAGTTAAAGGGTCTATCCTTTATCCTACAACTACACTGAGAAAATGTTGCACCATGGAGTGAGAAAATTTAATAAGTGAAAACACATCACCCACAGCTGTACAAACGGCTCATTTTCCAGTCCACATAAATATGCTCCTCATAGTTAGCCAAATGTAATGACTTCATATTTTGCCAATACTTTTCACGATACGGTTCTTTGAAGAGATCAG